GTGGCAATGCCTGTGGAGACAGTTCTATTCGAAACACGGGATGCCATGAGTCAACCATTCAATGGCAAATGGGTTATTCCCTCTGTGTCCTATTCTAAAAGAAATTTTCATAATCTTAACTGTTAGCTCTTGTTTTGGGGTGGGAGGGAGATGTCAAACCATTTTATTGAGAAATTTCTGAGGAGCCAGAGGAGTTAGGGCATTGCTGGCTGACACAAATGTCTGGTAGAATCTCCTGGACCAGCGGCCACCGAAAGCTGATAAGCTCGTTTTGTGATGAACGTGACTTCCATTGTTCTAAAATTTGTTAATAATTTGGCCCTCCTTTGCCAGTTCTTTTTTATATTCAAGTGAAAATCACCTACAGCCACTGAATCAATTTTGAGTCACAGTGACCCTACCAGATAGAGTAGAGCCTTTAATCTACTGCACTACCTGGGCTCCTTTTGTTTATATGGAGATAGTAACATTTTGTAACCAGGCTAAAGTTAACCAGTTGCACTAATTAACTATGTGTTACCTTTCTTGAATTCTTTCATTTCTGGGGCTTCCTGTAAAGATGGCATTATAGTTATGTAGCCTGCAACAAAGAAGTAAATCTATTATTTTATGTTTCAAAGGCGATAAGAGAAAGGAAAAGATGTATCACTGCACATTGGTTAAATACAGTCTTCAAAAAGAAGAAAATGGTGCCACCTCATCGAGCCCTTCATTTCCCAGTGGCATTCCCACCAGGAGGAAAACCATGCTCACAGCATGTAAGGCCACAGTCTTCAGTTTTATTTTTAATAATTGGTTTTCTTTTCCAAATAATCATGTGCTGACTTGACATTTCCTGTACTATCTGCAGTACAAGAGTTAGTGTGCTCTTAATGTATTTTGTCTGGCTCACTATAAAATGCCTTGAGCATAATAAATTTGTCATATTACCTTTTGTTCCCCTAGAATAGTAACAGCTTCCTATATCTAGTAAATATTTGAATGACTCTCCACTATGGGATACAACTTTATTAATAGTTGTGGGTTCTTCTGTCTTCTGATGGCAAGATTGTCTACCTCAGCGTTTACCAAAGTCGTGATACTGTTCCCTGGGGAGTGCTGATGGATCCAGGGAGATACCTACATTTTATTCTGGCTAGAGTGCAAAAGTTTCATTGCCATGAGGGCCTTGAATAATTTTTGTTCTGAACAGGTCCATACAAATTTAGGAACCTATGGTCTATATGTGTAACAAAGTAACTTTGTTAGCATGATCTTGGTAATACCTTATTAAATAGAAATTATTTTCTTTCCATATTTGGTATGTCATGTTTTTTTTCCTACACTACAAGTAGCATATATGTAACATTTTTACCATTAGAATATTTTGTTCTTAAATTACTAGGGATATTATTAAATGTTTCCGTGGGGAGTGCTGATGGATATATATATCCAAAGACTGGGTATATATAAACAGGACTTCTAACCTTGCAGTTAGCAGTTCAATACTTACCTGACAACATTGAATAATTGCACACACGTATGTATGCTGCAAAATCAGCCTTTGGAGATCCTATGGTATAGTTTTCTGTGCATATGGAGTCACCATGAGTCAACCTTGACGAGGTCCCTTGTAAGAATATTATATATGAGGGTTCTCAAAAAGTTCATGGCAAACTTCCATTATCTTTAAATTCCATTTGTCTGTGAACTTTTTGAAATTCCCTCACATATCTTTCATATGTATATATCAACTAAAAGTAAATGAAATAGTTCTTGGGTTTAACTTTGGTTTTTTGATTGTTGTTGTTTTTTCTTAGATTATTTCTGTGACTGGATTTGTTGATAGTGACAGAGATGACCTAAAGTTAATGGCTTACCTGGCAGGTGCCAAATACACAGGTTATCTGTGCCGAAGCAACACCGTCCTCATCTGTAAAGAGTAAGCAGGATTTTGAAGCTATTTTTAATCTTAAATATATCCTGATATTGTTGATATTTCAATGATTATGTTGTTTTTGTGGTAGGTATTATGTATGATTTTATTAATAAATGATTTTTGTGGTAGATATTTACATATGAACGTAAAAGTCTGTTAAAAGAATGGTGATGTTAATCATGGCAATGTTAGCAGGAATGTCTAAAAATATTTTTATTAATTACATCGGATGGGTCCATGTGAATTAAGGAAATTTAAATTAAGGAAATTGGCAGTGGTAAGGTAATAGATGCACTAAGAAATGATGTTTATTGGTAGTCTTGTAGTCTAATGCACAGATTGAAGGATACATTAATAATTACTGTGAACTTTGCTAAAACATGGATGTCATTTCTATGATGAGAGTATTTTTTATTGACTTTTTTTTAAGATAAATATGAATTTGAACAGTAGACAACTCTAACATGATAAATGTGTTTTCTCCAAAACCAAACAAAAAAGACCAACTGGGCTAAAGTATGAAAAAGCCAAAGAGTGGAGGATACCGTGTGTGAATGCCCAGTGGCTTGGAGACATTCTTCTTGGGAACTTGGAAGCACTGAGGCAGATTCAGTATAGCCGTTACACAGCCTTCACGCTGCAGGATCCATTTGCCCCCACTCAGCATTTAGTTTTAAATCTTCTCGGTAAGTGAAAGTGCACATGCTACACTTTTTAGTGAAATGAAAAGGTATTTCTGGAGTCATTCTTATTGCAACAACAATGAAATACAACTTTATTGAACTTTTGCCAGAAATATAAAAGGCTCCATTTCCCGTCTATTTATTTCAAGTGTTAGATGGGCTTC